TATTTCCATGGAAGATAATGCACCACCGCGACCTACTTTATTACAAGTTTTCCATTGTTACCGGCTCCTGCCACCCAGCTACAAATAGAGTAGAAGGCGAAAATACAATTTTCATTGTACGCAACCCGATAACGCTGAAGTATACTTAATCGCTAAAGGGTTTCTAATTATCTGATACCTACATTTACATAATTTGCAAAGATTGTTTTCTAGTCTGTATAACTAGTGGTCTGGCGCACTAAGCCAGCGTCAAAAACTAAGTACACTTTAGTTGCGCTGGTCTGTAAGATACCCGCTTGCTTTGCATATTTCAGATTAAGCCAGCGTTCACTATAGTATAGATTTGGAGTTTAAGTTATTGTATTCTGTATTTTGTGATGCCTCCTTGGTAACATCGTGGGCGGTAATGTCATGCGATAATGAATAAGTCTAACACTGAGAACCACAGGTTAGGATCAAAGACCATGTCATGATCAAATGGAAATTAAAACATTCAAGGCTACCAACGGTCATTCATTGACAAATGCTAATTTGCCGTTCAAAAAGCGATCCAAAATGTTAGTAAAGCCGCGTTAAATAGCCCGCACAGTAAAACGATTTAACTGAACAAGCAACTACGGACTAAATGTGGACAATACTACTAGCAATTGGCATAACTCTTTCCGAGGTTTACTGTGAGGAATTCAGTAAGTTACTTTTAATGGATGTGCTCATCTGGTAACTTAAAATTTCCTCAAACCATTGAGCCGATAAGGCCTTGAGTAAGTTTTAAAGCCAAATTTGTTTTGCATATTATATTTACTCCACTAGCCTAGCACACAAATTTTACATTTTGATATCTTTCCACACGTTCTAACAAGTTTTGTTTACCAGCAATTTTGTTTTGACCACTTTCTCACTCGACGACCGGTAATCATACATAAAGTGTGATCATACTTTATGTTAGCACTTCAATCTGTTGTTCCATTCACAGCATTACCGTGGTTTCGTTTGTCGTTCGTGTTATAATAAAATCATTTTAAGTCAACTGGTGGAGAATCTATTGATATTTTGAACATATATTACGTGAAGATGATCTCACAAGCTTGAATTCCATGATGCGGAGTGCACAGATATCGCAAAGATGACTCATGGAAGTATTGCGAAAGCTGGTGAAAAATTTGATAAGAAAACTGCCACCAAATGAAAGGGAACATACCAGGGTGTTCATAATCATCGTGTTATGCAATAAAAAGCTATCCACTCTATCGCTGTTTCCAATGTGAAAGAAAAGCAAGAACTAAAATATGAGGACAGCTGAATCAGTACAATGTCGAGTTAAATTGCTACGGAACATAGGAAAGCATCCGGAACGTAAAATGTGAAAACCACTCATCTTATTGTGGTTGGAACTAAATCGACATTCAGGGACATTTGGTAAAGGGCTAGAAAATTATGTTAGAGGTGGGTGTGCGGTCGTCACAAAAAACACTACAAAAATATCTATGCCAAACGCAGATGTCAGCACAGGTTACGAAGGGTTCGCCTCTCAGCAGAGCATTGTCGTCACTTGTATCCGTAATGTTTACTAGAACTGTTTAGTTATGTTACAGTTATCTGCTGCACTGACTGTCCAACCCTTAATGCCGCTTGACCCATCGTCGTACCTATATAGGCATGGAAGGGAGCCACAACAAAACCCTCCAATAAAGGTAAATATTCACCGCCATTTTATTAACACTGTCCTTATGAAAGCGATCGACATAAATATATATCACTCAAGTAATTGATTAATTTTGTTTCCTTGCCATGTAGAATCAGCAAATATGTGTTCGCGTTTTGTCCATTCTTAATTATTTTGTCAATTTGCTTTGTCATTATCTAATTCCATGGGAAGTAACGGTATGGGATTATAAGGAATAATTCACAATCGCTGAAGCGAACTGGGCATAGATACCGCGTTCTTGGCTTCTTAGCTATCACACTTGTATATAAGTGACACAAACCACAATCCATCTGAGTGAAAATTAGCCTGGTGAAATTAAAAGCACGATTTTTTCCCTTTAACCTTCACGATATCCCGCTTTCTATGCTGTTCCATAGAAGTCACGAATAAGGGAAACTAATGCTACGTTGTTTAACAAACCCTCATAATTAATTTTGTTTATTGGCTGTATTACATAGCTGCTGAAGTGCGTCTTTTCTCGTTCTGGTCCCATGAGGATGCACGGAAATGTTGTGATCTGGTAGGTCTACTAACTAGGTTCTTTTCACATCCGCTTTTGTAAGTGTCGTATGAAAATAAGCACGGCTTATTCGCATTTAATTCCAGCTTATTGCAAGATCACTACCATTATGGAACAAAGGAGGTTTCCGGAAATGTTTTGCCGGCTTACCCATCGAAATAGAAGAAGGAGGATTCATCACGCCGTACAGGATTACAGTGAATACGATCAACATCAAAAATTTTGCAAGGAATGCAAAAAGGAGCAACAACTTCGCATTCGTAAATCGGAAACTCAATTTGAATGCACAAGATTGTGCCACTGTGACAGGGCCGGATTGGCAGAAGACTTTGGGCAACTTGAGTAAGTGTGTACATAGCTCATAAAATACGTTTGCCTCTTTTGTCTTACCATTTCTTGTGTTTGCACAGGGACAGAGTCTGCACATCTTTTATGGTGAGTGGACGACTTGAGTTCCAGACAATTAGCAGTTACGTCTTTCGAAATGAACACTAGAATTGCGGACTTATAAAAGTCATTTGTTACTATATTTGTGGTAATTGAATACATGTGTTTTTTACTGTGCAAGTAAGTTATTTGTGCAAAGCATACTGTTTCCGTCTCTGCTTATTTCATATAATCAATAACTGGTTAGTACGCAGCTGCGGAATATCTTATCAATGCATCTGAAAGGAGGATGAATATTTTCTGTTCACTTTGTCAATAGGGTAGGCATTCGCGCGGACGCATCTCAAGAGGATGAAAACAAATTGCTAAATTCCGGATATGTAGAGTTTGCGTCGCATATTGCGTAAATTTGTTATATTGATTCTTGCTTTATTTTAAGTGACTGAGCTTCCGATGTTTGGCAAAATTTGCGTAATTCTATCTTATCTCTTCTGTTGCCTGGACTGTTTATATCAAGTGTGCTTGATCTTACCAATTTAGGGACAAGTTACCCCGTGGAAATTAATGTCTACACGACAACTGCTGATCAAGCTGACATTAATTGTACGGCTGTGAGTCTATCTGTACATCAATGTATATAAAACTGTGTGGATGGCGCAATAACATTTACACATTATTGTATCTAACCTGCTGCACTGTTATAGTGAGAAGTAAGGCCTAGTTTTTCTCTAAATATTCCTTAGGAAAAGAAAATGTGGTGGTTGTGTGGCTATAACTACAATTGCCACTACTGACCTGTCGCTCATTTGCAGAGATAATCTATAAAGAGTAAATAACTTATGCGCGAATATAAATCATTGGTGCTTTAAATTAGCGGATTAGTCCGGTGGCATTTAAATGCCACTGTTTTCAGTCAACGTATCATTACTATGAAATTTCCATAGAGTAGGAGTGTTAGAAGTGGATAGCATTTTAGACACCAACATGGATCGCAGTCATACCCAAATGCTTAAGGTATCGCTCAAACAATATGTTATGAAAAGTGTGAAAATTCAACTAGATGGACATAGAGCCAAACAAAAGCATGGAAACCTATTCATGACAGCTAGTGTCTCCGCCTTTTCACCGTAATGCACATTAATTAACGGTCGGCGACGTACTCCGGCTGTTGAGCCGTAAGAAATCATAAACTTTACTGCGTAAATTAATGTCAACCATTTCATATATAGTCGCCATATGGATTGATAACCGGCATATGGTCGGTGAAACTTGATTCCTATAAGAGCAAACAGGGCGAGATGTAGCAAATGCCGGCTGAAATACGCAAGGCGAGACCGAACCATTAACATAGGTTTAGTAAAATCGGCCTGTGCTATGGAATACACGCATACACCAGGATGCGAGGTTTGGCTTCACGGTGTGGTGACCTAAAGCCGGACACTACTGCACCACTTATCAGTTGCGTGGAAATGACGGGATACGAAACGGCAACCAGCCAACGCAGGCCATAGTAACCTCCCAAAGGAGAGGAACATATTTGTATCGTCGTAGTATGCGCACATGAATGAACGCAAAAGCGTTGCACACCACACAACTCTTATATACAGAAAGAAACTCGCACCTTGAAACCTAAAACAGGGATGGCGTAGACAAACGGATTTCCCTTTTGTTAGAACATATGCAACTAGTATTAGCTATGTTTGACACTATAAGTAACTCCGCTGAAACCTGGGGATTTTACGACCTTTGTTGATGCTTTGTTACTGCTACACAAGAGCATTTCTCTTCAAACACTCGCAAACGTAGCTCCAGAATCGGCACATTATATCAGCGAGTCAAAAATAGAGACGTATGTGTTAATGGAGAATGTTTAAGCTGAAAGCAGAATTATTTAAAAGCGGAGCAGTTTAGGTACATTGTCTTTCATATTCGCTTAAGTTTGAGGACATAAGTTCTTGAAACGAACATATTCAACTGTACCTAGAATACAATACCGTTTTAAAATACTAATTTAGTTGTTATTTGTTGTAATGACAACCGTTTAAGTGATTCAACTATGTAGGATCTGACGTACCGAGATGTACCCACTAATAATATTTTGTGCCGGCGAAGTAAAGGTGGTGTATTTAATAAGGCCTGCGGCAAAACTAACTATATTTTTCTGCCTTTTAAACGGACAAAGGGGAAATTTTGCCTGCTCAGGAATGTATTCACAAGTGATTGACTACAATGGGATATTTTTTAACTAATACCTTTCCTTAACATTACTGCGTGCAGGTCATTGGCATTATAAGAAAGGCTTCTCCGTTCCTAACACCAATCGGTTGTCAACAAGAAGTGACGCCGCCCAAAATTGCACAAATTTACCATCACCATTTTGATGTTAATATGTCGATGCCTGACACCAATGACCGCCCTGTAACCGAGACAGTTATACAACAGCTGCATTGGATACAACGTATACTGAAAATCGAGCGAAGCAGCTGCGTACCTATCAGTGTCCCCACGTATGATTCCGAAAGCAAAATCTGGAGTAAGATAAAGGTTTCCGAGTCAAATGTATTTTACATACGTTAACGGCACTATGTATACATGCTTAGTCTATTAAGTCTTGCACAATGTAATTATTTAGCAGCAAATGTGATGGTCACATGGTGTATTTCAAATATCGTATATTTAACACGCATCATAAAAGGCTATGCTATTTCAGTCAACACCGTGTACTACATACATTTTAACAATCTGCATACACTATGCAAATGATTCCTGAATACCATGAGGAGCGCTGTTAAAGTCTTCAAATTTTTGGTGCTTCAAACGTTTTGGTCTTGCAAAAATTGTTGTGACGCTTGTCATACTTTGAGTCGCAAACCACGCCAGATTCGACTAATCGTTATTCGCGCGTACTTATCACGTTCGCACAATCGGTTTGCATTTAATCAGGTGCATACTTGACTTATCATCTTCATACATTAAACAGGAAGGAACCAAGAAGGCGGTAGACCGGAGGAATGTTTCGTTTCCATTTTACAGCACTTTTGTAGTTTTAGCTCTTCCACAACAAGCTTTTGATGGACGGACTAGTTTTTGTGATGTCTGAAACTGTTCTTCAGTATACTCGAGCAAACCTTTCAAAGGGATTCTGGACACGATTATGGACAAGTAACCAACATCAATTTAGATTTGCGCCTAAGCTAATTGACAAAGCGTTTTTTATTTTTCATATTTAGACGTTCAACAACTCATGTTGCATGGTATTAGTTTTGTACAGCATTATTTGCAATTGCAAGTAGAGGTATAGCCGCAAATGGGAAATCCATGACATGATACCCGCTGCGTGAATGTAGTCAGACCATCTCTCTAGGGAAACATGGATGTATTATACCAAACCTGCTGTTTGTAAACCTGCTTGCACCCATGTTTTGATGCCAGAAATGTCATTACGCTAAAGCGTAACATGTTTGTCGTTTCATACTTGTCATTCTTGTGCACGTAATTCAAAGTGTAATCCACTCGTCATGTACTACTAGGTTTCCCAACTATTCTCAACGAAAATCGTGCGTCAACAATTAACTGTAGTACGGTAAGTCACGGATATATTGTTGCGCAGTAATCATTAAGCGGTACTTAACACCCTCTATAGATACGGACAAAGACAATGTCACGTACTCTATGTCATTCATCAGTTATAATCCTCTAGTCTTCTGCGAATTAAAAACAGTGATTCAATATTTGAATGTGCTACACGAATTATGCCATAACCTACCTACAGCTAAATTTATTGCTTGTAGCCACCTTGTTTAGACACACGTGCGACATCGCGATAACCATGTACCATATGTATAAAGTATTCGCCCAGATGCATGAAATCCCGTCAAGTGTGCCCCAAGGCTTAGGGCACAAGGCTTAGGTTAAAGGATTGCAAATAATGCAGCGATCATCTGTCGAACATAACGTTGGAGTGCTTGTACAGAAGAACTTTGGTTATTCCAAGCAATCCGCAAACACATCAACAACTGGTGACCAGCGCGTCAACGTGATACGACGAGTGATCGTACAACTAGACACTACTATTTTCAGACAAATGCTAAATGCGTATGTTCATCCCCATGTCGAATGCGCAATCCAAGCCTGGTAGACTTGGCTGAAGCGCGAAATTACTGCACCGGACCAACCTAAACATCGTGCTGCTTACTAAGTCTTTGGAATGCGTTACGTTCCATTCGTGCAGAGAATAAAACGTTTAAGAGTATTAAGCGGGCAATATCGCTGAAAGCGAGGCGAGTTGCTTAAGAGGTGTTCATTGTAAAAAAGCCCAAGTATATTTGCCGCTCTATACTGTACTTAACAATAACACCAAAGTGAAGGCCACTAGTTTCAATTAACAGGACAGTACAGCCGTCTGACGCGCCGAAGAAAATTTTTCATTCGTGTTTGTCAACCATGGAAAGCTAGCCCGAATCGGTTGTTTTTGCGACCAATCTAGCTATACTTAAACGTCGGTTGAATGACGCGCCCCGCCACTTACAATTTGTTACTTGACGCTACTCTCCATCCTTCTCCCTGGAAATATCATACATTTAAGTTTTACCCCAAATATTGCTATTGAAACACTCGGAATTTAGGGCTACAGTATTACGTACAATAAGTCTATTCTTTTGACACTGGAATTATTAATTGCATATTTCGTTAACTTACTTTGATATCCCATCAGTCTGTCTAACGGGACGTGTAAAGTATTGTATCTTAAGCCCTATAAAATCCCTTTACTTTGTTCAGTAGACGTAGCACGCGGCACGAAAAGCCGCGTGATGTCGCCCAAAACATTGCAAATTGGACGGCGTTCTTTCGTCCATCAGCGCTTTGATATTCTGCATTAAATGACTCGCCTTGGAGCCCAATTTGATTAAATAAGTGATCCAATTTAAACGTTATATTTAACGATTTCAGATCCGCGACCTAACAAAGTGTTCGCCTAAGTCCTGTGAAGTACAAATGATTCCTGGCTACATGGGTCCGCAGATTCTCAAAGTTCAATTCGATGCTTCCATTTGTGGACAACTGTCTGGTCCCGCAGATTATAGGGCAGTTGTGTTTCTCATCAATTCAATCTTGAATGGCATGAAAGCAGATTGCCCCACCATCCGGTATACCAAAACGAAGGATGCGTTTGACAAAGGTTCGAAAACTGGAGATGCAGGATATTTGTCACAATAGCATATGTTTATTATGGCTTTACGTGCAAAACCAGATTGCTTCTTAGAGAATGGAACCCTGTGTAATTGCCACAGCACTTGTTGACATTATGGCCAACCTACTTATGCTAAACTGCAACTGCTATTTTAAGTGCTTCCATAGCAAGACAGCAGCAGTATTAATATTTAGCTTGAGTATTAATGGCAATTTCTTTCACCACACAAACTTTCCCATCGGTGTTAGGTTCACATGCATGGTGGTATTCTTCATAATGCCGTTAACATGAATCTTGCGATATTTCGAGAACAGCAATGCCCGTTCTCCTAGTACATACTGCACATTTGGGCAGGATTTGAATGCGATTCGTGTTACTTTCTCGAATGGCGCTAATGCACTTCAAAACATAACAGTACCTTCGGAATTAATTATGGCTAGCCGCAACGCTGTTGTAAACTCTAATTTGAGGAACACGTAAGAATTGCTCTGCTAGAGATTACTATGAGTAGCGGATAGTGTGCCAATCTGCATTGCCTCAAATTTACTTGCTTAATATTTCAAATGCTGAGCTTCACGCAGTGCTACATTTGTGAAATAATCTCTTCTGTTGGTAGTGCCACATGAAGGATATTACTGTGAGTAGAGTACACCGTTTGTAACGAATGTTTTTGGTGGCCTGTATTATTGCGATTCAGTAGCAACTAATTGACCTGATTATTAACCATCATAGACGTCCAATGTGTTTGAAATGTTAGTCGCTTTAACCAATTATTTACTATTCAAACCTCATGATCTCATGCAAGAATATCTTGTAATCCCACATGCATGGATTTATGTTGGGTTGGATCTATTAACGTGGAAATGTACGACCATTAGGCTATAGAGACTGTGGGTGTTACATTGGTGATAAGCGTAGCACAATTCCCAGCATTAGTCACAATTTCACCACGACCAGATTGGTTATACATGAATGGATCATTTGGATATGTACCGGCTATGTGGCCTCTTTGGAATTGTAACCCACATTAAGAAACGTAAGCCTGTGCAGATTGGTGAGAATTCTGTTTGTTATTTGCTACTAGCATAAACCGTAACCACCCATTAATTCGTTTGCATGATAACATCGAAATAACTCTATGCTCATCGCATATGTCTTCCTACCGCCGCGCAGTTTATTAATCCACTAATGCGTATTCAAAGTGGATGATTCCTACCATTAGCTGTATACGGGGCATCTAAGGTTTGAGCTTTTTATGGCTCATAAACCGACGCATTACTATTCGATAGCAATAGTGACAAACACCTGACCGGGCTCAATTATGCCACCTAAGCTTCCTGAAAGTGAAGCTTCACATAAGTTCTAAGCACACTTATAGCATGGCCTCAAATGTCAGATAGTTTGTTCCATAATATATCAACTTAACTTTGCCTTTCTCAGACTTATATGCGCAAAATCGCAACAGCAGATGAAAGAGAAACCAGGTACATACTCCACATCTAGGTATCGAATCCACGTAAGCCAGGTAAAGTGCAAGTGCTCCTTGGTTTTCAAACTTTATACCGTGAAACCTTACGCAATCAACAACTACTATCTGGTCCCATATATTTAACAGCATAGGGGGAAGATTTTGCTGTTCAACCTCCTCCCAATCACCGTCGCGTAAGACATGGAAGTGACGTTCCATCAGGTCATTTTTCATATTAAACCGGAATTGTTGGAGCTACTTGTGATACAGGAATGGCAAATTTTGTTCCCCTATTGAATATCGTCTGACTGGCCATCCGTTGGCCACTACTTCGTCACCATGTTCTGCTAAATGTGCGTCCCGACAACATACGGTTGACAGTTTTTTGACACACCAACAATGGTTTAAGAAGTAACAGATAACTGTTGTTATGTCGATGTTTGGTTATTTAGTGTAGATACTGTTCACGTGGCAAATGCACTCGTTAAACAACTTAGACGTATTCCGTCCGATGGAAATTTTCATTTGACGATGTGGCTCAGCAATTATATGAGGTTACCGCGCATTTAAATAAGAGGGAACAGAAGGCTCCCGGAATAAAGTATTCGACTGAGGACAATAGTGTTACAAATACGCTTGGTTTAAACTGGAACTTCACACCGGACCACCTAACTTTTATTTTGACGGTTAGTACTAACATGTTGTCCCGTAAAGCCATCCTCTCTTTTCTAGCTTCATTTTATTGTCCTCTCGACATCATTGCGCCCGTGCTACTTCCCGCAACCGTACTTTCCCTCTGGATTTTGATGTGCCTCAACCCATGGCGTATGAGCAAGCATGGACCAACTAGTTATCAAAAGCTAATGTCAAGAACAGCTAGTCCGTTCAATTTGTATGCGTGCATTGGGATGCAGTGCACTTTCTTTGTGGTTTCATAGCTTTTAGAATGCATCTGAGGCTGCTTACTGTGCTGCTTTATATTTGCAGTTGGAGATTGACGAGGAAACTTCAGTAGATTCTTGCTTAGTAGTAAATCACGTGACCGCCTCATTAAAACCCTGTCGATACTATGGTTGAAGCTCACTGCTGCCGCACTGAGGGTGCGCATATCTGTGAAATTTAGAGAGCAGAAAGCACTACACGGTTGCACGTCATTCTGGACATGTTTCCTGGTACTTCTAAAGCTCCGTCAATGTGTTATTAGGCATTTCGCGACGTAGGTTGCTAACCGGGTTACAGTTATAGAACAATAATCTCACGGCAGTCATTGGCGCTACGTAAATTCGAAGTAGAGCCCGGCCGTTGTAGCCGCACGTGGACGCGCGGCGTCGTCCATTATAAAAATACAACAATGGTTACGTGGACCAAAATTTATTGTTTAGGTCCCTATGCCATGGCCTTTGTATCCAGCGATCTTCGTTGAATTGCCGCCTGATTGGTCAAGACCCGAATTGCTAATGTTTATTTGCTCACTTTGTATGAGCATTGGCTTACTACGTTTGAGCCTGGCCCGACATGGAGTTCGCTGCACAACCGTTTCCTTAACTTTCTGCAGTCCAACTCATATTTACTTATAAGTACTTGAGGCGGGCTGCACCTGACCAAGCAGCTGAGATAAACAGTGCCGACATTCAACAACCTACGCTTTAGTCAGCGTTGTTTGCCGAGGAGATGCGTCTATTAGAATAAATCAAACCAAACATAACAAGTTGCAAATTACAACTAAGGTCTTACCAATTAAGACGACTCAAGCCCCTTTTTCTTAATGGATTTTTAGGGAAGGCGTAAGGCTGAATTAACTCTCGGTACAGTACGACGCGAGGCATCTGCTTTTACTTCCCGACCGTCACTTTTCACTTGCTTTGTTACACTTTGCTACCAGTACCTCAATGGACACGCTGGTGCGCGGCGCACTTTGTTCCATCCTCATCGACGCTAATGGACCGGGGTTAGATTTCATCTACAACGCGTCCTTTTCAAGTGTGCCAAAATGCCGCGTTACCCGTGCGGAGCCAATGAGTCAGCTGATGGCCCTAGGTATAATGGACCAAAGTCTGACCAATACTAAGCGTTCACTGTAGTGAGGATCGGCTATTTTGAACCGCTTATAGTGGAACTTGGCGGCGTAGTTGAAAAGGGATATGGCTGCTCATTTGAATGACTACAAAGACAGTTCACATGGAGGTTTCCTATTTTTATGGATGCCGATTATTACTTGTGTGCGTTTTTGAGTTATTTTAGCTGGACGCGTTTGGTCATTTGTAATATACAGGAATAATGGACAGAATGTATTGCTAAAAGCGTGCTAAGAAGAAGAAGAAATTATTGACGTGGCAGCTAACGTTTAGAGCACGAACCCACTGGGAAGGGTTAACTCCAAGGGAAAAATTTACGTGTTCCTAACTTTGCTGGCCTAATTCAGTAAATTTTATCACTTTCCCTAAAAATGCTGCTCATTTTACTTCTCTTTACTCTGTGCGCTACAACCGCGTAATAGATTTATATTTTTCCCTTGACCAATGACTTATGGGTGATATTTCACGGCCAGTAATATTACTCTTTTACAGCAACACTGCCCAAATACCCGCATCTGTCGCACACTTTACTATTTCCTCCCTATTACACTACTACTGCAAAACCTATTCGTAAATCATGTACTGTATTTTTATGCCTTATGGAACCACGATTACAGGATAAACCGTTTCCTTCTTCTTTCCAAACCGTGTGTAAGTCTAGGTTTATTTGTCCGTGGGTTCTAGTTAAGATTTGTACGAGGTGATTACTTTATGCCTTGTATTGTTTGTACAACCAACCCCATCATAATTATCATTAATATCGAGGTCATCATTGACCAATCCTTCATCATCAGCCTCATCAACATAACTACCGTTATCATCATCACCATAACCCTCATCAACCTCATCATCATTATTTGCATCATCAACTTTATCATCGTCGTGGTTATCCTCATCATATTAAGCACCGTCATCATCCGGCCTATAATTGTTTATATCCGTATTGAAGCTACGATCAATATCTTCATCATCGTCATCAGCCATCCTCTTTGACACCACCATCCTCCTTCTTATCAGAATCAGCAGTAGGATACTTATTCTGATCCTTACCGTCATCGACATCATCATCATTAACATCATCCTCATCATCAACCACATCATTTTATTTATCAGGATCCCCATCCTGATAATCAACTTCGTCCACCGCATTATGTATTCACAATCGTCAACTTTGGTCTATGATCTTGCTCCTTGTGTTTTTCTTGATCAGCGTGGTAACAGTCCTAAAGGCCGTAATCGTCATCGCCTTCTAAATTAGCATTATCGTCATCAAAAGCATCAGAACCATCACCAAAGTCATGCCGCTGAACATGAATAACTTCATCCTCATGAACATAATCATCATCCACATGACCATTACCAAAAATATCTTCAAACGTTAGCATGACGATCATCAAATTTACCAACAGTAACATGCTCACCATCAACAGCAGCAGCCGCAGAATCAGCTTTGCTTGTAGCTTTGAAGATAAAAGTAATCTTA